AAACAGTAAAAGCAACCGGAAGAACTCAGTTTGCTCGATTACTGCACGACATAGACACTCCTTCCAATCTTATAGGAAATCGTGATTTATTACATACGCATGCCCGATCTCATCGTATTAAAATTGTGGTACCGTGCCAAAGTTCCACTCCGAAAACATCGTCCGAGCGTTCAAAGTCGCACAGACGTAAGGTAGACGAAACGAGCGAAACCGAAGGTGATACGCTATTTGTATCCGCTGACGAGGACGAAGGCGACAAAACATTAACGAGCTACGCAGATTCTCCGACAAAGAAAAGAAAAGGATTGCTCGACTGGAGCAAACTCGAATGATGGATCTCGAAAAATTGTATTACAGTTCCTCGCACTATGCCGGCTATTCGGCGACGGACAATTTATCGCGAGCCGCTAAACCGAATTTCACACGCAACGATGTCATCGATTGGCTTAAATCGCAAGACTCATACACGTTACATCGTCCGGTACGTCGAAAATTTCCACGCTTACATTATAACGTGACAAATATCGATGACTTATGGGAGGCTGATTTGATCGATATTCGTAATCTCAAGAGCTATAATGACGGTTATTCATATCTATTAATGGTTATCGACGTACTTAGTAAATTCGTTTGAATAGAATCTTTACGCGACAAAACAGGTGCCTGAGTGGTAAAAGCCTTTCAACGCATATTCTCGAGAAACAAAGAGCGCCTACCCGTATACTTGCAGACCGACAAAGGTAAAGAATTTATTGCTCAGCATGTACAAAATTTCTTAAAAGAAAAAGATATTCGGTTTCGCGTAACTCGTAATCCCGATATTAAAGCAGCTATAGTGGAACGTTTTAATAGAACGCTCAAGGAACGGATGTGGCGATATTTTACTCATAAAAATATACGACGCTACATATTTTGCAGGATATCGTTCGCGCTTACAATCATACCCGGCATTCCACCGCGGTAACAATAAACAATTATTAGTTAGTTGGCAAGGATATTCTTCAAAATTCGATTCTTGGATACCCGCTTCAAGTTTAAAATCTTTGAATTAAAAATGAGGGAGGAAGGATTTTATATGATTCTCCCGAGTAATAGCAGCATGCGTTTTTTTCCGGAGAATAAAACCACGTGTTTCACCACTGAATTACCTCAACGTATAGACTTGCAGGGACGTTGGGAAGTAGCGCTCACGGAGATTCAATTTCCGACTAGCTTTCTTCATATACGTCCTGGAGAAGGAATCATAAGATTTATCGATATTCAAGAATTCACGATAGGTTCCCAAACAAGAAAATCAACGCTAGGAAATACCCTTCGGGTATTTACTCGATTTTGCATGATATTATAGAAGCTGTGAATTACTCTGCAAAATCCGTGGGTTCGCATATCCATTGGCAATTTGGAGCTATTATCGGTCGCAAACGGCTTCGATACGCTCAATAAGTTCAATGCTAGCGTTGTGGATCATTTACCGTTGTGGCTCTTTAGTGAAACAGACTTCAATATACAGAATACCGATGAGAAACATGGTAAAATTAAAAATAATACCGGTACACCAGGCGTTTTACTTTCCTGGATTTATGACGATGTTGAAACTTATATTGTACATCACCATTTTACGTATTTCCGAATGAGTAATAATAGCCGCCGAACCAGCTAGTTTGTTGCGCGGTATCCCCGACAAGCTCTTTGTCTATTGCGATATTTGCGAACCCTATATTACTGGCGATTTACAATCTTCTCTTTTGCGAATAGTCGCACTTGATGCTGGAAATGATTACGCGTTTGCGTCTACTCAAATAAAGCATTTCTAGCACACTCAATACATTGCCGTGCGTCAAACGTCTTTTCGCACAATCGAGATAGATATAAGAGATCAACTAGGACAGAGTATACCATTCGAATTTGGAACACTGACAGTGACATTACACTTTAGACGTATAGAGTAGATAACATAAAAATAATTAGAGACCGCGATAAAAAATTAAACTTTAATGGATTATTATTCGACGTATTACGACGAGTTACATTTTGTAACTCGGCGGCAGTCGCGGCGGTGGAATTCCGCGAGTTTTCGTCGGATCGCCCTATCAACGAGGTCACGGTATTGGTAGTTTTCTCGGAGGATTGTTCAGACGTGTACTATCTTATTTAACTAGAGGCGTACGTGCTGTGGGGAAAGAAGCTTTACGTGCCGGTGCTAATATAATCGAAGATGTTGAAAACAATATGCCGTTTAAAGTAGCGGCCAAACACCGATTTGAAGAATCGCGCGACAATCTTAAGAGAAAAGCTAAAGAAAAAATAAGTAGCCTGATGAAGGGTTCGGATTATAAGTCGGATGCAAAAATGCATGTAGCTCAGTTTCCTTTCGGCGGGCTCAACACGCGCATCGCTAAATCCGCGATATTACGTAGACGACGCCAGGCGTGTAAGAAAAGTTCGTCAAAGTGCAAGACGCGAGGGAAAAAAAGAACAAATACAAAAACATCGAAAAATAAGAGAAGAAAAAATCGCACAACGGTGAAAAGACTTAAGACATCCGCGAAACGGCGTAAAACTGATAGAAAGCGCACCGTATCCGACATATTTTCTTAAACGGCATATATTCTAAACACATCTAACAGCGAGAATTACAGCGACGACAAAAAAATTTGCGGTAAATAAGCATGTCCTTTCTTCACACGCATTCGAGCGAGTGTTTAAAGAGCGAACTCGATCTCTTTTCTTTACCGCCCACACAAACTAGTATCGAGAGTTCGCAATGGATTCATTACAAACCCGTGACTTCGCTCTCGGACGATTCCCCGATAGAATTCGTCATCCCGGGTCACGGAGAAGAATATTTAGATCTCACGCACACCATGTTAAGTCTTCGCGTA